TCTCCTAAAAAATGTTAAATAACTTAGCTCTAGCTGGATCCTACAATTTCCCCTTTTCATATCTTTTTCCAGAAGGCTTCAGAAATATACCGACCCACTTGGGTCATGGAACAATGCTAAATAAGTTTAAACGAAGCGTGCTGCACCATGTGCAGCACGCGGCCATACAGAGACAAACGAGCGTGCTGCACATGGTGCAGCACGCGGTACGCAATGGGTTAACAAGCTCTTGCTTCGCGAACGACGCTTTCTCATTAGCGAGCTCTTGCTTCTTACGACGCTAGAAGGAACGGAGCGCCAATGAAGAATGTGGGACAGTCGCTGTGACTCCGCGCATTCGATCGGCGTGGAGTGCCTCTTGAACATCAGCGTGATTTTGGCTAGAAGTGAACAATGCAATATCTTGCAGTATCGGGGACTTGAACTCACAAATGGCCTCCGAGTACTACTGGTATCGGATCCCACTACAGATAAATCTGCCGCTGCAATGGATGTTAATGTCGGTGGGCCACTATTACTTGAACATTCAGTGGAATGCACTGCTTTTTGATATGAAGAAACACTTTCAAACTTTGAATATCTTTCGAAGGCATAAGTATTCTGTAGTGATCTAATCCAGGAAGTCTCATGGATCCGTGGGAGTTGCAAGGGCTGGCGCACTTCTGCGAGCACATGCTGTTTCTTGGTACTGATAAATATCCGGAAGAGAACGAATTCGACAGTGTAAGTCATGTAAATAAAGTTGGATCAGGTAGGAGTTATAGGCACTATTCCCACATTTTCAATCTCATCTTTTTCTCATTTAATGGGTTACGCAGTGTCCCGATCACGAAAATAACACTCATCTTCGTCGTCGACGCCGTTTGTCCCCAAGTGGTGGTGCTGTTAACATTTTCATTAAAACTGATACGAACCGGCGAATCGGGGTTATTCAACATTCGGATTATAAAGTCAGAATTAATTTTGCCATCCGAGGCATTTGGTGTCAGAATGATGCCCTTGCAATCTGGCCCTACCACCTTTTTGCACGAAAATTGGAATAAACTGGCACACAGGGGAAATTTGATGTCCTGATCACGATGTAACATCCATTTTCTATTCAGAGCACCGTCTGGTAGCGATAGGTGTCAACTTGGTGTAACCATCGCGTTCCACCAAATGTGAAAAAGCATCATACTGGGTTCATTTGTCATCCTCCTTACGGATAGGACATTCAGTTCCTCCGCCAGCAGTAAGGACATCACCTTTTTAGTCCAGCTAGAGACTGAGCCCAGTGGGAGGGATCAGGTGTCAGCCTCAACAGAGCGATGATTAGCGCTGGTGCCTTAAAATGAATAGAATTCTAGAAATCTGGCCTTCATCGGAATTTGGTTAAAAATTCCGTGGGATGTGCATGTTGGCGCCGACGCGGAAATTGATATTTTGTTTGTAATTGGAATAGCCTTAATTCTTATGTTTATATCTCTTTTGAAGAAGGTGATGCGGCAAAAGTTACTTGCGCCAGCCCCATGCTGGAGCCAAACGGCGGTAAGAATGCATGCCGAGATTTGCAAAATCAGGAATAGTGGCGCCAAAAATAATACCATGAGAGTTCATGTCATAGAGGGAAATGTGGTGACTCCTAACTAGCACCTGCTCCTATTCGTGATCAGGCCCTGATACCCTCCGCAGTTGAAGTTTCGACAAGAACTGCTTAGGATTCTAGAGTAGTCTTATAGGAATCCATCAGTGCTCTAATTTTTGAACGTTTAAGTTTATTTCCGAGAACGGTGGCTCCGAAGACGCTGGAACAATCCTCCGATCATACGAATTACCATTTCGAGATAAAGCCGGACGCATTCAAGGTGGGCTATTCGTTCGATTTCTTGTAAAATACCGCTCCTAATTTGTTGTCAATCGACGGTTTG